TAGTTTCTCTTTTCTTTGAAAAAGGCATCAAACATAGAAGAAATAATTTAGATCTGTTACTTTGTTAAATGCAGTCTTAGGTGTGATCCTTAAATCATTTACTTCTGGCATAGCTGATTTTGCCTTCTCTTAAAAGCAGCAAAGTAATGTTCCTCCAAAACTGAAACAAGTTGATTCCTAGCTGTTGCTCAAGTGTGCAAATAAAAACTGTGTCCCTGCAGAAATGAGGGTTAGCAACTCAACCTTGCAATAGAAATGGTACTCAGTACATGGAAAGGCTTTTTTCCTGTATTTCTGGCCTCATGTAGAACGTGGGCATTGTTCCCTTACAGAACATGCTCATGTTGCTCATACTCATGTTCTGTCTTGGTGGGGTTTTTTGGTTATTTACGTGCTCTGCTAGCTGAAGAAGATACAATAAGGAAGGACAAAAATGGTAATTTTTGCATTTTGTATGAGTTGTGACTAGAAATGGCTTCAGATTTATGTACATCTGTTATTTGCACAGCATTTAGCAAATAAGTCTGTTTTAATCAGAACTCTGGACACTCTGTAACCCCTGACTTGCTCATGTACATTTCTGACTATGGGAAGTACTGTCTTGTTTGTCACCTTGCCTGTACCTGCATTTTGTTTCCTGATAAGCATGCTGGGAAGTGAGAGGCTTTTGACAGATCACTGAAGATATACTGCATTTGACTGCTGCCTGAGACTTCCCTGCACAGATGGATCGCAGTAGTCAACCCAAATCTAAAGAAAATTTAACGAAGCGGAAAGACCTCACTTATGTCCTACAGAATGAAGTGGTGGTGCTTTTATTTGCTCCTTTACAGGCTTATCGTTAAGAATTAGGTGTATCCCCACAGTGCTTTGGTTTTTAGCTTACTTGTTACGAGCTGTCTGTTTGTAGCAATTGGTGTTAGGTGGGAAGATCTGGGCAGCTGTCCTGGACTTGTCCAGTCTTTGAGAATCAGGATAAAAAGTTTCAAAGATTTTTGTGGATTTTAAAAAAGGCTAGCAAGGTGTGTTGCACAAGATCACGCAGTAATCTTTGTGTGGGAGTACTGATGGATTGTGTAAATCAGCAGTGGCCAGAGACAGTCTGATACTCATGCGGGAACCATTGAGAGATCCTTAAATGCTGTTGACAACCATTTGATAATCTTGTTCACGATGGGGTCACAATACAGTAGCTCCATATTTGAGGAACTCTTGTGTTAACAAAGTTTTACAAGGCTGTTTCGAGTGATTAAACAAGAAACAAAATAGGCGTTGTAGGTCTGCTTGAGAATCAGTTCACATGGAGAAGGTAAGTTGAAAGCCTGCCTGAAATAACTTCAGATGTTTCACAAGTAAGCCTGAGATATGGGTAAGAGGACCTATTACTTCTCTCTGTTCAAGACTTATGTGCAGTGGTTCTGTAAGTGAGGCTGTCTCTTTATCAGCCACGCAGGCTCATAATGTGCTTCCTTTGTTCCTGCCGCGTTGAAGGCAAATTTTGGTTTTGCTGGGTTGTTGGGGAAGAAACTAATGTGTCGGAGCAGAGCGAAACTGCTTAGCCTAGTGAACGTAGTCTGTAATCTCTGGATGGATGTGCTTAGATGGCTCTACAGCTAGAGGCTATAAATACTTTAGAATCACGCTGCTTTACTGAGAGAGCTGGATGCACGTGTAGTGAGAGTGTAGGTGTGACACTGGAGTAGTGAAAGCTGTGCCAGAATCTTACCTTCCCTTTGAATAAATTAGGAGGGCTTTGGATGTTGGGTGTGTTGGAAAGCACTGTAAATGTGTGTAATTTGTGGCTGTTAACAGAGCCCTTCTTTTGAGGTAGGATTTTGTCCTGTGTGCTGGGGATGGATGTGCACCTCCATTACGGAGTTCTGTATGATGATGTTGTAGTCTCTAGTAGACAGCTGATATATCATTCTCTTGAGCTCCTGCATGTGGAGGAGTATGTAGCAGCTGAAAATGTTGTTTTTTCCAGTAAAAAATTCACCAGATCTTTTTTTTCTGTTGATCTGGGTAGACTTTGAAGGCCTCATCTGTCTGAATGTATTTTATTAATAAGGCTTGCCCATGGGATTGTTCTCAGTGGTTTTGCTGAGAACATAGCACTTAGATCTAAGCACTTTACAGGGCTGTTACTATTAAGAAAGATTATTGCAATAGTAATTGTAATAGTCCTGTATTTATAGTACACTAATGACAGGAAATGTGCTATATGTCTTAGGTTATCAATGATGTAATGGGTTGAAGCACCTCCTATCTTTTTTTTTTACTCCTGTAATTAATGAAATGCCTTTTCTTTTTGGCAGCTATTCTACTGGTTATGTTAGGTTAAGCTCCTTGTGAGATACTCAAAGCAGGTGTGGTCCTGATGAAAGCTTTATTTATTTGTCAGGGAAAATTCCAAGATTGAAAAAAAATAATAAATTGAACAAGAAACACATTGTCCTTGTTTTGAGTTAGTGCATATGTATCTTCTGGGCTAAAGAAATGTTACATGGTTACATGAGATTATGGAGGGTCAGAATTTGTGCCTCAGGTTGACCTTTACTGTACCTCTATTCCTAAAGTTATTTTACAGCATCTTGTGCTGTTTCTATTAGTTATATAATCAAAATGATATTTTTTATAGTGAAGAAGTACTAAGAGTGTTTCCTAGCACTGTTACCTTATGTTAGCCTGAAAATGCAGCAGTTTTCAAGTCTGTTAGTAGTGTTATAGAAGAAAGAATATCATCAGTGTTTTAAGTTTCTGCATGATGTGGTGCGAAAGAGGCTTCCTGAGGTCTTGTTCAGACTATGCAAAGTAAGCTTTATTAAAGTCATATTTAAAAATGAGTCTGAGGTGCTGTGGGAGACTGCGCCTGTGAGAGGGTGGAAATGTTGCTTTCATGAAAGGAAGATGTAAAGCACGTGATGGCCAGGGTGTGCACAGTCTCCACAGCACGTGAATGCTGCTGATTGCAGAGCCCCAAACTGCTTATCTGGAGAGCTGCTTTCTTACATCTGCCAGCTACAGTACACGTTCTCTTACCTTTAGCTTGATAACTTTCTTCTATTTCTATGTATGTTTTCTCGACTGCCCTTCCCCCCGCCCCTCATTTTTCACCTTAACAGCAAGTCATACAAAAAAGGGAGCAAGAAGCTTGCGTTAGGTATCTCAATTTTAGTCTTATCCCAATAAGGCCAGAGCTTCAAACTGATGAAACATCAAAAAGAATGATTCAGAAAAAGGAGGGGTATATCCATAATAAGCCCAAAGTGGACAGATTGGCACAGTGTGGCATTCATAGAAGTGTTATTCATGTGATATATGTAGTCTTTAAAATGCTGAAAAAGTGGAAGTTCAACAGAACAGCAGATCTCTTATAATAGGACACTTAAAATATAAGATTAAAACAGCAGTAAAGTTGACTTCCTAGAAGGGGAGAGACAGAATTTGAAGCATTAACAATTTGACAGTTCCTTTTTGATTCTAGTACCTCCTTGAGTAATATTATGTACATCAAGCTGCATGAGCCAAGGCTGCCACACAAAGATGCCTCTGAGTTAGAAGAGAGGAGCTGTGGAGACATGCGGTGCAGTGGGGTGGGTTTGTGCTGGGGTGTGTTCTGTAGCTGCATGCACAAACAGTACAAACCCAGATATAACCAGGGTGCCTTTCTGAAAAACCCTAATGGTAGAGTTAGAGCCTTCTGTAGATACATGGTAATGAAAAACCCCGAAACCTGAAGAGGCAGATGGGAAAAGATCATGATGCCAGACATTGCTTGCATCTCATTTGTATGCCTGTTCGCTTGTGCCTCTGTTGATCTACTCGAACAGAACTTCTGAGTGCAAAGCTAGACTTAAATTCTCAGTGGCTTCAGTTGAAGGTGGGAAGCACGAAACATGGCTAAATGAGAAAATACAATGCAGGCAAGTCTTCCAGGAAGTCTCCAGTCTGAGGAGTCGGGGTTCTGTTTCCTGGAAAAATGTGAGCATTGTCTTAACATGCATTTAAAGAAAGGAGTCTCTCTCTCAGTGGCTTTACTCATTTTGTTTTCAGGAAGAGAAAACCAGAAGGTGTTCCAGCAATGAAATGCTTTTGTTACCTGTTAATTCTTTATTGGGTTTTGTTACAGGCAATGTACATGCATATACTGGTTCATTGCCATACTTTCCTTAATGCATCTAGTGATTTGTCTGGCTTTTATAGAGCGGCTAGCCACGGTCCCCAAACAATTTTGCAGCTGTGGTCCAGTCCTTGAGGATGAGTCATGATTCTACACACTGAATAATAGATTGAAATACATAGGAGAGCCTTCCTGGTGTGCATTTCGTTACGAGTTGATTATGTAAATGCAGATGGTCATACACAGTATTCCAAAATGCATATTCTGGTTGACATGTTTTCAGTTAAGGTTCATTCAAGGTAATGTAACAGTGCTGAGGGATGAAGTTGTAGACTTTGTTGCTCAAATAGAGTGCACTTGATCGAACTTAAAGCAAAGCAGATTGGGGCAAAAATGTGATGTGTTGCCTTGCTGTGTTGGTTTTCATGTAGAAGTGTCACTGTAGATCCAAGTGTTTGAGTGTTGCAGGGTTCTTGATGCATCTTTATACAGAGTAGCAAAATGCTCATTTCCTCCCAGTATTAACCATAGCAAATGACTGGAGGATGGGGATTGTCCTCCTTTGCAAATATTGGAAATTACTTCATGGGTGCATAAGCACACACAGTAAGTGACTGGGAAATTATTAATTAATGCTGAAAATGCACTCCAACTGGTAGTGCATTTTCTTTAAAGTGAGTGATTCCTCTTACTTGCACTACCTAGAAGGTTGGCAGCTTGCAAGAAGAGGGGTTACACATCGATATTGCAGAAAGTAGGAGACATACTATATTGAATTGCTGTTAAAACAGTGGAATTGAGTAGGAATGCTGGTGTGACTGAGAAATGTAGATGTTAAACCTTGATTTTCTTCTCTCTATTTTTGTCCCCTTTTAGGAGGGCTTTCGAGCTGCTGCTCTGGTGCTGAACAGCATGCAGTCCTTTCGGGAGCAAAGTAGTTATCACGGAAACCAGCAGAGCTACCCGCAGGAAGTGCACGCTTCATCCCGACTGGAAGAGTTCAGCCCCCGCCAGCAGGCCCAGATGTTCCAGAGCTTTGGAGGAGGTGCTGGCAGTGGACGTCGTGGAGCAGCAGGAGCCTCTACAGCGATGCCTGGTGAGAGCTCTGGCCATCAGAGCTACCAAGGTTTCAGAAAAGAAGCAGGAGAGTTTTACTATATGGCTGCCAACAAAGATCCAGTGGTGTCAGGAGGGCAGCAGCCACCTCAGCGCAGGCCTTCTGGACCAGTACAGAGCTATGGGCCCCCTCAGGGGAGTAGCTTTGGGAGTCAGTATGGGAGTGAGGGACATGTGGGCCAGTTTCAAACACAGCATTCAACCCTTGGGGGTGTATCCCACTATCAACAGGATTATACTGGTCCTTTTTCTCCAGGGAGTGCCCAGTATCAGCAGCAGGCTTCTAGCCAGCAGCAGCAGGTGCAGCAGCTGAGACAACAGATCTATCAATCTCATCAGCCTTTACCCCAGGCTTCCAACCAGTCTGCTTCTAGCACCTCACACTTGCAGCCAATGCAGCGTCAATCCACTCTGCCTTCCTCTGCTTCTGGCTACCAGTTACGAGTGGGTCAGTTCAGCCAACACTATCAACCACCTTCGTCATCCTCCTCCTCCTCTTTCCCCTCCCCACAGCGTTTTGGCCAGTCAGGACAGAATTATGATGGAAGCTACAACGTGAATTCTGGGTCGCAGTATGAAGGCCATGCTGTAGGTTCCAATGCACAGGCATATGGGACCCAGTCAAACTACAGCTTTCAGACTCAACCGATGAAAAGCTTTGAGCAGTCTAAGTTGCCCCAGAGTGGGCAGCAGGGGCAGCAGCAACAGCACCCACCTCAGCATGTAATGCAGTATTCAAACACTGCCACCAAGCTCTCTCTCCAAAGTCAAGTGGGACAGTACAGCCAGACCGAGGTTCCTGTAAGGTCACCGATGCAATTCCACCAGAACTTCAGTCCAATCTCTAATCCGTCTCCTGCTGCATCTGTGGTTCAGTCTCCAAGCTGCAGCTCTACCCCTTCTCCACTCATGCCAGGTGGAGAGAATCTCCAGTGTGGGCAAGGTAACATGTCCATGGGTTCTAGAAACCGAATCCTGCAGATGATGCCTCAGCTTAGTCCTACACCATCTATGATGCCAAGCCCCAATGCTCATGCAGGTGGATTCAAGGGGTTTGGGCTGGAAGGACTTCAGGAAAAAAGGCTGACAGATCCAGGGCTGAGCAGCCTGAGTGCTCTAAGTTCTCAAGTGGCCAATCTGCCCAACACAGTCCAGCACATGTTGCTCTCGGATGCCTTGGCGCCTCAGAAAAAAAGTTCAAAAAGATCATCCTCTTCAAAGAAGGCTGACAGCTGCACCAACTCAGAAGGTTCCTCCCAGGCCGAGGAACAACTCAAGTCTCCCATGGCAGAGTCCCTTGATGGTGGCTGTTCCAGTAGTTCAGAGGATCATGGGGAAAGGGTGAGACAGCTGAGTGGCCAGAGCACCAGCTCAGACACCACTTACAAAGGGGGTAATTTAGAGAGACCCAACTCCTCACCAGCACAAGGGTCTCAGAACGAGCCGTCAAAGCTCAGCAGCAGCCCGGCAGCTAGGGAAGATGTGGCCTCCCCTGATGCCAAGGAAGCTGTGGTGGCTGTGGAAAATGCCCCAAAAGTGAATGAAAAGGCAGTTGGGGTGATTGTCTCCCGGGAAGCCATGACAGGAAGAGTAGAAAAGTCAGGTGGACAAGATAAACCTGCACAAGATGATGCTTCCACAGCCACTCAGGCACCAGCTAGCGCTAGTGGAGCAAAGGAAACTGGGCATGCAGGGACACAGCCAGAAACTCAAGGAGGAAGTAAAGGGAGCAAAGGTGGAGATAACACTAACCATAATGGAGAGGGGAACAGCCAGTCTGGTCATGCAGTTGTTGGGCCAAATTTTCCTGCAAGAACAGAACCTTCCAAGTCTCCTGGCAGTCTAAGGTACAGCTACAAGGATAACATAGCAGCTGGTATACAGAGAAATATTGGTGGCTTTCCACAGTATCCTTCTGGTCAAGAAAAGGGGGATTTTCCAGGGCACAGTGAGCGCAAAGGCCGGAATGAGAAGTTTCCCAGCCTCCTACAGGAGGTTTTACAGGGGTACCACCATCACCCGGACAGAAGGTATTCTAGGAATGCACAGGAGCATTCTGGGATGGCTGGGAGTTTGGAGGGAGCCATGAGGCCCAATGTTTTAATTAGTCAAACCAATGAATTGACCAACAGAGGCCTCTTAAACAAAAGCATGGGGTCTCTCCTGGAAGGCCCTCACTGGGGTCCCTGGGATAGGAAGTCTAGCAGTGCAGCTCCAGACATGAAACAGATAAATTTAGCTGAGTACCCTATTGCTAGAAAGTTTGATGTGGAGTCTCAGTCTTCTGCCCATGAAGGGGGAGCACTCTCAGAGAGGAGATCAGTGATCTGTGACATATCTCCATTAAGGCAACTTGTAAGAGATCCTGGCCCTCACCCCATGGGGCACATGGGTCCCGAGGCCAGAAGCGGAAGGAGTGAACGTCTTGCCCCTGGCTTGAGCCAGTCAGTAATACTCCCTGGTGGTTTGGTATCCATGGAAACAAAGATGAAAGCTCACAGTGGGCAAATAAAAGAAGAAGATTTTGAGCAGTCAAAGAGCTCAGCTAGTCTCAATAACAAAAAAACAGGAGACCATTGTCACCCTGCTGGCATCAAGCATGAATCTTTCCGAGGCAATGCCAGCCCTGGAGCCGCGGTCTCCGATGCTGCTCCAGACTACATTCCCCAGCAGGACAGCAGATCGACACAGATGAGACGAGCACCTGGCAGAACTGGAAGCAGCAGGGGTAAATCACCCTCTCAATATCACGATCTTGCTGATAAGCTGAAAATGTCACCAGGCAGAAGCAGAGGCCCGGGGACAGATCTGCATCATATGAACCCACACATGACACTATCTGAAAGAGTTAGCAGGGGTTCCTTGCATTCTGTTTACTCTCAGAATTCGGAAGGCCCATCTTTGGCTTCAGCATATCACACAAATGCTAGGCCTCATGCTTTTGGTGACCCTAACCAGAGTTTGAATTCCCAGTATCATTACAAGAGGCAGTTGTACCAGCAACAGCAAGAAGAGTACAAAGATTGGGCAAGCAGCACTGCTCAGGGTGTGATTGCTGCGGCTCAGCACAGGCAGGAAGGAGCGAGGAAGAGCCCAAGACAACAGCAGTTTATGGAACGAGTAAGGAGTCCCTTAAAGAATGACAAGGATGGAATGATGTACCTCCAGGGTGGCTCTTACCACGATACTGGAAGCCAGGAAGCTGGGCGCTGTGTTATGGGGAGTGACAGTACTCAGAGCAAGTGCACCGAACTGAAACACGGCAACCAGAAGTTGCAGCATCATGAGTCTGGTTGGGACCTCTCTCGGCAAACTTCTCCTGCCAAAAGCAGTGGCCCTCTCGGAGCAGCCAACCAAAAAAGATTTTGCCCTCAAGAGAGCGATGGGCATAGACGAGAGGAAGCTACAGATTTGCCCAAGCCTAGCAATGCTATGCTCAGGCTCCCTGGCCAGGAAGACCAGTCTCCTCAAAATCCATTAATTATGAGGAGGAGAGTCCGTTCTTTCATCTCACCTATTCCTACCAAAAGACAGCCACATGATATGAAGAACAGTGGCAGTGAAGATAAAGGGCGACTGATGGCTTCAGCAAAGGAAGGAGCCGATAAAACTTATAACTCCTATGCCCATTCATCTCAAAGCCAAGATGTTGGGAAGTCAGTTACAAAGGGAGATTCTTTCAAGGACCTGCCAAGTCCTGATAATAGGAATTGTCCTGCTGTTTCCCTCACAAGCCCGGCTAAGACCAAAATACTGCCCCCAAGGAAGGGGCGAGGATTAAAACTGGAAGCTATTGTTCAAAAAATTACATCTCCCAATATTAGGAGAAGTGTTTCTACCAACAGTGCTGAAACTGGTCCAGATACTGTCACTCTTGATGACATCCTGTCCCTTAAGAGTGGACCTGAAGGAGGAAATGTGGCTGGACATGGACCAGAGGCTGAGAAGAGAAAAGGAGAAATGTCAGATCAAGTGGGGCCAGCAAACCAGGATACAACTGGTGAAAAACCTCTTCCAAGATCTTCAGAAGAGTGGCAAAGCAGTGAGGATGATAAAACCAAAAAAGAGGTTTCACTCCCTGAAACTGCCAGTGTTGGTAAAGAAGGAGCAGGATCCAGTGCAGCACCACCACCTTCTCAGAAGTCAGGTGCTCAGGGAAGGTCTGATGGATCTGTAAGTGGAGCTGGAACTCTGACCTTTTCTGACTCAAAAACAATTTCCCCTTCCAGTGTGTTTATTTCTGAACCAAATCCAAAGTCTGAGGAAAAAGATGGGGATGTGACAAACATTTCACCCAAGCCAGATGGTTTCCCTCCAAAGGGGTATTTCCCCTCTGGAAAGAAAAAGGGGAGGCCAATTGGGAGCGTGAACAAGCAAAAGAAGCAACAGCAGCAGCAACAGCAGCAACTGCCACCACCCCCACCACCTCCACCAGTGCCATCCCAGCCGGCAGAAGGGGCAGGTGCTGGTGAGCCAAAGCCGAAGAGGCAGAGGAGGGAGAGGCGAAAACCCGCAGCACAGCCACGGAAGCGGAAGCCTAGACGGGCTGCTCCGATTGTGGAGCCTCAAGAACCAGAGATCAAGCTTAAATATGCTACCCAGTCTGTAGATAAAACGGACTCCAAGAATAAGTCCTTTTTCCCTTACATTCATGTGGTAAACAAGTGTGAATTAGGCGCTGTGTGCACAATCATAAATGCAGAGGAAGAGGAGCAGAACAAATTGGTGAGGGGTCGGAAAGGACAGAGGTCTTCAACACCCCCTCCTAGCAATGCAGAGAGCAAAGTGCTGCCCACCTCAACTTTCATGCTGCAAGGCCCTGTAGTAACAGAGTCTTCTGTCTTAGGGCATCTGGTTTGCTGCCTGTGTGGCAAATGGGCCAGCTATCGTAACATGGGTGACCTCTTTGGTCCTTTCTACCCCCAGGATTACGCAGCTACCTTGCCCAAGAACCCACCTCCAAAGAGGGCCACAGAAATGCAGAGCAAGGTCAAGGTACGGCACAAAAGTGCTTCTAATGGTTCCAAGACAGATACAGAAGAGGAGGAGGAACAACAACAACAGAAGGAACAAAGAAGCCTCGCTGCTCATCCCCGCTTTAAGAGGCGGCACCGCTCTGAGGACTGTAGTGGAGCCTCTCGGTCACTTTCAAGGGGAGCTTCTTGTAAAAAAGCAACCACTGACGGTGGCAGTGGTGGTGAAAAGACTCCTTTGGACTCAAAACCCTCTATGCCCACTTCAGAAGGTGGCACTGAGCTGGAGTTACAAATTCCTGAACTACCTCTTGACAGCAATGAATTTTGGGTCCATGAGGGTTGTATTCTCTGGGCCAATGGGATCTACCTGGTCTGTGGCAGGCTCTATGGGCTGCAGGAAGCTGTGGAGATTGCAAGAGAGATGGTGAGTACCTAACCTTGCTATACAAAATTATTGTCTTTCATTTGCGATACATACACCATTTGGAATAGCAGTTTTCCTCGTTCTTCTCTCCTGTCTTAAACAATCATCTTTCATCTTAAATAAATCTCTAGTGATGTCCTTTTGATGGCCTCCTTTAGATCTCTGCCACACCTGATCAGACAGATTTTTTGGACATCAAAAAGCTGGATGCTCATTACCTAGTAAAAGTTCTGGATGTCCAAAGGCTTTCTCGTGACTACAGCGATCTTTTTTCCCTTCCTTATTCTGTTGTGTTTGATATTTAATATTCTCTAGGGCTCTTCTTGGAGTCATACAGTGAAAGGACAAGTGGCAGCAGACACAAACTGCAGCAAAGAAAATTCCAATTCAATTAGGGCAAAAAATTTCACAGTGAGGGTGGTCAAACGCTGGATTGAGGGAGGGGAAATGACAGAAAAGCTGTGGAATACTGTGGGTTTGGAGATGCACATATTTGACTGTGCCAGACCCTTAAGCAACCAACTTTACTTGTGAAGTTGAATCTAACTTCAAAGTTGGCTCTGCTTTCAGCAGGTACCACTTCAAATGTCTGTTATTCTGTGCCTGTAGTATATATTATTACACAATTGTAGGAGAATTGATAAGGTGGATAGTGTAGAATCGCACAGAGTAAGTGTTGTGTGAAATGGGGTGGGTTTAGTACTCACGAATTCAGTATTAATTATACCACAAATCATACTGGGATTTGATTTTGGAAAAAGTGTGAGACACAATCAGTGAGAAGAAATGGATAAAATTAAAGCAAGGACAGAGGAAGAACTTTATTTGCCACCGCGTGGTTGTGGATGAAGCCACTTCACTGTTCTTGATTTCCTGAGGCAGAAGCTGATGCCTTAAAACCACAGCTATGTGGCTCGCTCTGCCATCCCCAGTATCCTTCGTCTCCTTATTTATGGTTATCTCTCTTTTTTTCTTTCTATTGTCCTCTGTCCTGGGCCAGGCCATGGAAGAGGCATTGGATTATTTTTTCCTGTTGCCTTCAGAGTCTTCCTTTTCTAAACAGTGTTGGGATCCAGTTTTTATCTTCTCTTTCCTCTCTATTGTTACATGCAGTGTGCTAGTTTCTTCCCCATGAGCTTTTTCTCTTCAAGTTTGATTCCTGGCTCCTTCTGAATTTTCACTCACTGTTCTTTGACAGTAATTACATGCTGCTTTGCCCTAACTTGATTTGGCTTGCATTCTTGTTTCTGGCCTCTCATTAAACAAAGTCAGTTAATTTCATTTGGTTTTCATCGAACTGTGCCTGTGTGCTTGTTCTGATGCAACTGCTGAATTTCTTCTCTCTGGTAAATGCAAAGTTTATTTCAGCATCTCCACTACCCTTTGGATTCTACTTGCAGTGTGACCATGCTTTCCTATGTCTTGTAGTTCACCAGTATTTTGAATTTGGATCTCTCCAGCCTTTTTACTTCTGATTCTTCCCTTTTTACTGTTTTTAGCATCTGTCTCTCATTTATGATTCTAGGTTTCCCAATTGCAAATGCCTTCTCTGCAAGTTCTTGAACCACTTGAGTTGTCCTCCAGTGATTCTTTTTGTGTTCCTTTTCCTGCAAAGGGCATAAGCCCAGCAGAAACATGCTGTGCTGACAGGCTCTAATCAGACTTGTTAAATAGTATCCCGTTACCCACATCTTTGTATAGGTTTTGCATGTAGTTTGACATCTAGTTCTTTCTCTGCATGGGATCTTGATGACTTTCTGATTGAACACTCTTTGGCCTACCCTTTATCACTTTCTTGCAACTCTTGGAATTATCTTCTCACAAATAGAATATTTTTTTCCTCTTCTTCTTAACCCTTTCATCTGCTGTTGTGGCACCATACAAGAGCATTTCCTTATCTCCCTTGAACTTTGTGTCCTTTTTCTCTACCTGTTTCCTTTAATCACTTGTTCAACTACTGTCTTTTCTTTACCCTAATAATACTGCAGACACAAATGTTTCTCGGGTTTTTTTTTTTTCAAAAAGAAGTGTACAAAATGCCTGTGGCCTCTCTTGCCTTTGTACCTACCTCTTAATTTCCTTTCTCTTTTTTCATCTCAGAATTCTTTGAATGTGTTGTCTGGGGCTCTTGTCCTCCACCGTGGCTTCAATTGTGCTCTGCTACAATCGTAATCAGTGTTTACGGTGATCTCTTCCCAGCTAAGGTTCAGATCCAGTACTTCATTTTCCTTTTTTCTGTCAACTACATTGTCACTATCAGCTGTGCTGCTTTTGAAGTGTTGTTCCACCTTTGTTTTCCATCTGTGTCCTCTTTTGATTACCTCCTTGCTTTCCACTGTATCTTGCAGAGGCTGTTGTTCATTACCTCAGGCTTTTTTGTGTGGGGTTCACTGAAGTTCTGCTTGTGCTCTCCTTATCTTTATCCTGGAATACCATGCCTTGAATAGCTTTTGGTAACCCGATCACTTTATTCCGGAGTCTTGTCGAGCTTCCTTTTTTACTCCAGATTCATGTTTTTCTGGCACAGACTTAAAAATTGTTCATGAATTCAGTGAGTTCTCAAACTCTGACTTTAAAACATGGCTTTAAATCTACATCATCCTTAATCCATTGTCTGCCATCTTGTTCTGATTTTCATGTCACTCAGATTCACAATCTCATCTGATTTTAAAATTGTTTCTCTTAATCCTTCCTGTTTAAGGCTGTAAGAAATACTGCTTACGTTTTGTGTATGAGAAGTAATATGTAGCCTTTCAGTGCCCTCCACCATTCTGTCTGGGTACTGTTTTGATCTAGGTCTAAAATTTCAGAGTAAGGGACTATTGTCTTGTGTGTGCATTTTGTTTTCTTAGAGAGCCATAGAATGGTTTGGGTTGGAAGGGATCTTAAAGATCAGCTAGTTCCAACCTCTCTACCATGGTCAAGGGCACTTCTCACTAGCCCAGGTTGCTCAGAGCCCCATTCAGCCTGGCCTTGAACACTGCCAGGGATGGGGCATCCACAGTTGCTCTGGGCAGCCTGTTCCAGTGCCTCACCAGCCTCACAGTAAAGAATTTCCTCCTAACCTCTAATCTAAACCTACTCTCTTTCAGTTTGAAGCCATTCCCCCTTGTCCTGTTGCTACGTGCTCTTGCAGAAAGTCTCTCTCCTGCTCTCTTGTAAACTCCTTTCATGTACTGGAAGGCCACAATTAGGTTACCCTGAAGCCTTCTCTTCTCCAGGCTGAACAGTCCTAATTGTCTCAGTCTTTCCTCACACGACAGGTGCTCTGTCCCATTAATCATCTTGGTGCCCCTCCTCTGGACTCTGTCCAAAAGGTTAATATCCTTCTTATGTTGGGGACCCCAGAGCTGGATGTGGTACTCAGGGTGGGCTCTCACAAGAGCAGAGCAGAGAGGCAGAATCACCTCCTTCAATGTGCTGGTCATGCTGCTTTGGGTGCAGCCCAGGACACGGCTGGCTCTGCCAGCTCATGTCCAGGCTCTCATCTACCTGCACCCCCAAGTCCTTCTTATCATGGCTGCTCTCCATCTCTTCATCCCCAGCCTGTATTGATACCAAGGGTTGCTCTGACCCAGGTGCAGCACCTTCCACTCGGTCCTGTTAAACCTCAAGAGAGCATCATCCCATAGACTTGTGTACATCCAGGTTCCTTGGGTGGTCACGAACCCTACCTTTACTTAAAGTGGGAGGGAGTTTGCTCCCCCAATCTCCATCCTGCTGTCCATCCACTCGAGAGGTGTGAGAAGAGAGGTTCCCATTGAAGACTAAGGCAGAAAAGTTGTCGAGTACCTCAGAATTCTCATCTGTTGTTTCCAGTTTTCCAGCATTGTTTATTGGAGGGGTGCACCTTCTTTGTTTTCTTGTTAATGTATGTGTAGAAGCCCTTCTTGGTATTCTTTGCATCTCTTGCCTGGTGCAGTTCCAGCTTCACCTTGGCCTTCTTCACACCATCCCTGAATACACAACTGAACTTCATCTCTATACTCTTACCAGGTTACCTGGTCTTGTTTTTGCTGCTTGTGCATTTTGTTTCCTTCCCTCTAGTTTGACCAGCAGCTCCCTACTCAGACATGCCTGGTCTCTTGCCTTTCTTGCCTGATTTCTTGCTCCTGGGGATTGTTAGCTCTTGTGCTCTATGGAATGCTTCCTTAAAGATCTGCCACCCCAGTTCTACTCCCTTGTCCCTGAGGGCAGTCTCCCAGGGGACCCTATTGATTATCTCCTTGAAGAGCTGCACATTTGATTTTCTAAGTTCAGGGGCCTAACTTTACTCCTTACCTGACCCATATCCCTCAGGACTGCAAACTCCACCGGTGTATCATCACTGCAGCCCAGGCTGCCTCTCATCTTGATGTCCCCAAAGAGCTCACTTGCATTGGTGACCAACAGGCCCAGTAATGCATCTCCTCTGGTAGGGCTGCCTATTACCTGACTCAAGAAGTTATCCTTCATGCATTCCAGGAGTCTCCTGGATTGCCTACAACTCACCATGCTGCTTTCCCAGTAGATGTTGGCAGGATTGAAGTCCCCTAGTAGGACAACAACCTGCCAGCACGATGCTTCTGTAATTGTAGCAAGAAGGCTTCATCAGTAGGCTCCCCTTGATCAGGCAAATATGTGCAAAGGCAGAAGCAGACTCCAGCCACAAGGTTCCTTTGTTGCTTTGCTCTCTGATTCTTACCCACAGGCTTTTGACCTGCTCATGGCCATTCTTCACAATCTGCCTCTTGATGTAGAGTGCAGTCGATCAGCCTCTCCTTCCTCTCCTGTGTCTTCTGAGCTGCCTTTAGCCATCAATAGTCCCACCAAGTTTCAGTAATGGCAACAAGGTCATAACTTTGCAGCAGTGCAGTCACTTCTAACTCGTCCTGTTAGTTACCCATTGTGCATACATTGGTGTGAAGGCACCTCAGCTGGGCTGTCGTCTGTGTCACCTTCCTAGAGGAATACCCCTAAATTCCTTTGAGATGTTTGCCTGCTCTTTCCTTGTTGGTTTC